GTTTTACTATGTTGCCCAGGCAGGTCTTGAACTCCTGGGCTCAAGCAGTCCTACCACCTTGGCCTCCCAAAGTGCTGGGATTACGGGTGTGAGCCACGGCACCCAGCCTTGACAATACTTTTTGAAGTATTTTTAAAAGCAAGCGTTCAGATGCTTGCTTTTAAAATATTTGGTTGAGATCCTCATGATTTACCATCTGAGTTTTTATAGTTAATTAACCAGGATTAATAGTTTAATACTTGGTTAACCACACATTTGTGTTTTCCCTGATGTTGTTTGTCTCTAGAGTTTTTCTAAAAAGTATGTATTTATTTATTTATTTTTTGATACGGAGTTTCGCTCTTGTTACCCAGGCTGGAGTGCAATGGTGCGATCTTGGCTCAATGTAATTTGGCCTCTGGGTTCAAGCAATTCTCCTGCCTCAGCCTCCCGAGTAGCTGGGATTACAGGCATGTGCCACCACACCCGGCTAGTTTTTGTATTATTAGTAGAGGCAGGGTTTCTCCGTGTTCATCAGGCTGGTCTTGAACTCCTGACCTCAAGTGATCTGCCTGCCTCGGCCTCCCTAAGTACTGGGGCTATAGGCGTGAGCCACCGCACCTGACTAAAAAGTATTTTTTAACCTTCTTTGTATACTAGAGTCTTTGAAATTTTGATGAAAGTTACAGATTATCTTTCTGGAAAAATGCACATATTGTATGTGCAACTTTTGTATGTTATCTCAATAGAGGGAAGTTCACAGGTCTCTCCATCTGTTGACTGACCTTCCTCCAGTTAAGCCCCCTTGTTGTAAAATACAGATCCTATTACATAACAACTCCCCCAGAACCCCCTACTGCCACTTGAAAACCTTTTACTCCCAACTACCTATAACAAAGCCCAAACCCTATGAACTTGAAAAACTCTTCACAGTCTCACCTTGGCATTTTTTCCATGGCAATTTTTTTTTCTAGCCTTTCCGTGTATCTTATTCCTTAACCTATACCAGATTAAAAGGCATTCTTGGGAAAATATATGAACTTACATGTCTTCATGCCTTTGTTCATGTTAGGTCTCCTTTCTGAAATGCCTGTCTCTTCTGCTTACTCATCCATTAAGGACCAGGTTGCATTTCATCACTTTTCCTGGCACTTTTACTACAGGTACACATTAACGTCTCCTTCCTGTGGGCTTCCATAAAGCTTTGCACGATTTCTATCATGTATATAATACTTTTACATGGTATCATGATATTCCCATGTCTTTCTACTGAAATATACACTCAAGACGAAAAAGGACAGTGTTTTGTCATTGTGTTTCCAATGCCTAGCACAGTGCCTGGTACAAAGAAGATGCTCATTAAATGGTTGTTAAAGGAGAGGTTTTAAGATGTCTTCCTTTCTATCTCAAGCTATTTTAATAAAATTAAAATATAGCCTTCTCCTCCTTTCCTCAAAATTCTTTTTTGTTATTTCACTTTTTTTAGTAGTTGTTTTATATGAAATTATTGAGCATGTAATTTAAGTCAGTATTAAATACCTAAATAATAAATGATGAATAATTTTTTTTAGGCAGTCGTCTTTTAACTGGTTCCAGCTATTTGCAACTCTGGTCTAATACTAACTTGGAGAAGCCAACTGAAGATGAAAATTTAAACAAAACTGATCTTAACTTTGGGGATTGGAGATGCATTTGGCATTGCAAGTAAGCAATTAATTAGGGGAGTAAACTGATAAACCTGTTGTTCTATGTGGTTTCGTTATAAATATACTTTAGTTGTATAAAACCACACTAACATAAAACATTGATTTTTAGTCAATGGTATGTTTTTTCTTATACACAGATAATTTTCTATTTCCCATGTTCTACAAATACATTTTTTTTAAATGTCAAATAAAATAGGAAGAAACATAAATGTGTAAGGCCTGTATGAAGACCATTAAATACAAACTTGCTAAATTATATGAAAAGAGAGACAACTTTGATGCTTTTGAATGGAAGACTTCCTATTGTGAAGAAATCTATTTATCCCACATAATCCATATTTTGAACATAGTCCTTGTCAAAATCTGAGTGAGATGACAGACTTTAACAATGCTTCCTTGGCAGCCTGTGTATTATTTCATACAGCATCTTCATTATATGTAGATAAAAGGACAGTTTTAAAGTCTATTTGAAAGGACAAATACAGGAAAGTCAGAGCAATTCTGAAAGAAAAGAATAAAGATATACAGTTTAGTAAAATGAATTCTAACACTGCAGATGATGAAACATTTTGTTATTTTTTTATTTTTATTTTTTTTGAGACGGAGTTTCGCTCTTGTTACCCAGGCTGGAGTGCAATGGCGCGATCTCGGCTCACCGCAACCTCCGCCTCCTGGGTTCAGGCAATTCTCCTGCCTCAGCCTCCTGAGTAGCTGGGATTACAGGCACACACCACCATGCCCAGCTAATTTTTTGTATTTTTAGTAGAGACGGGGTTTCACCATGTTGACCAGGATGGTCTCGATCTCTTGACCTCGTGATCCACCCGCCTCGGCCTCCCAAAGTGCTGGGATTACAGGCGTGAGCCACCGCGCCCAGCCTAACATTTTGTTATTGATGTAGAAACAGACAGATTAGGATCCAGGATTAGACTCAGTTATGCATGGAGATTCTATATGTAAGGTTGGTTGTTTTTTTGTTTGTTTTTGTTTTTTGGGTTTTTTTTTTGAGACAGAGGATTGCTCTATTGCCCAGGATGGAGTGCAATGGCACAAGGCTTATGCAACCCCTGCCTCCTGGGTTCAAGCGATTCTCCTGCCTCAGCCTCCCGAGTAGCTGGGATTACAAGCATGCACCACAACACCAGACTAATTTTTATATTTTTAGTAGAGATGAGGTTTCACCGTATTGGCCAGGCTGATCTTGAACTCCTGTCCTCAAGTGATCCACCCACCTTGGCTTCCCAAAGTGCTGGCATTACAGGTATGAGCCACCATGCCTGGCTATAAGGTAGTATTTTATAGCGGGGAAAACTAGCTAGCTTTGTGGAGGGGAAATTAAGTTAGAGTCTTTCATACCTGACACCAAAAAGAATGTGGGGTGGTAAAAAAAAATTCTATAAAATGAAACAAAAATATTAGAGGAAAATACAGGTGAAGTTTTATATTTTAGAGCTATATTGTCCAGTATGGTAGCCACTAACTACATGTCACTATTGAGCACTTGAAATGCAACTAGTCCAAATTGAGATGTGCTGGACTTTACAAATTTAGTATTAAAAAAAAAGTGTAAAATATCTCTAACATTTTAAAAAATATGTTGAAATTTTTTTATATATTAGGTTAAATAAAAAATATAACTAATTTTGCTAGTTTTAACTTTTTTTAAAAAATGTGGCTAATAGGAAATTAAAATTACATATTTGGCTAGCATTTGTCATTTATATCATATTGCTGTTGGACAAGAAGTGCTGCTTTAGAGTTAGGGAAGAACTAAGAATGACACCCAAACTGGAAATGGATAGGAAATGAAAAATAGTTCTAACTGTATCAATAAAACATTTCTATAACGCAAAATGTCCTCAAGGAAAGAAACACAAACATGAGGAGAAATATGTGCAGTTTTGGGCAAATGTGTTTTTAAAAGTAGACCTTAAATTAGTTAGAAAAGAACAGGTGTCACAATAGTAAACAGCATTCGGCAATGGAGAGAAAATTTTTAAAAAGATGTAGAACATATTAACAATAAGTGTAATAAGAGATGATCTCATTTGATATCAAGAATGTGAAATGTTCAGAAAGAGGATGGATCTTTTCTAATAGTGTTTAGAGAAATAGGGGCTCTTGTATACTGGCATCAATAAGGGAGTGCAGTTGATATTATCTTTCTAGAGCACATTTTGGAAGTATGATTCAACAGGCTTAATTTTTTTCATATCCTTTAAATAAGAGTTCAAGTTTTCATTCATTCATTCAACAAATAATTCTTGAATGGTTCCAGGCAGCTTTAAAGGTGCTTGGAATATTGCAATGAACAGCTAGGGGGAGATAGAAAATAATTCAGTAAACTGATATAACAGGATGTTAAGTGAAACTGCCTAGGTTTATATGAAGTGGTGATAGCATAAATATTGCATACCAAAGTAAGGCAGATGTCCCATATGTAGAATTTACAGATTTCAAAGGAGCTGATTCCATGTGTTTCGTACCCCTCAGATAGGTCATGGGTTAACATGTAGAAAGGGAAGAGAATTTTGCATAAATAATTCTTTTTTTTTTTAGACGGAGTTTTGCTCTTGTTATCTAGGCTGGAGTGCAATGGCGCGATCTCGGCTCACCGCAACCTCCGCCTCCTGGGTTCAAGCAATTCTCCTGCCTCAGCCTCCTGAGTAGCTGGGATTACAGGC